TTTTGAAAGTTTTGCACATCACGTGGCTAGCCTAGTTGCGGTTCGCTTCCCTTAGTAGGGGTGATGTTTTGAGGGCTTCTTGAATTAAATACAAGCTACGGTATGTACTAAGTTACTCATGCATGTGTCAATGTATACGGTATGAGTATACGGTATGAGTCCAGCCTTCATGCTCTGGAGCACGCGCACTGAAGCCTGGCAAAGCTCATGCTGCTAAGCCCGCAGCTTGCTCATGGAGTCGAACTGACATGACATGGGTTGCTCTTCGCGCCTTTGCCGACAACTGATCCTCATCGGACAGAATCGCCAGCTGATCGATCAGCGGCAGGGTTGCTCCCAGAATCACCTGTGCAAGCACTTCGATTCCCCGCCATTCGAAGGTCGAGTCTGTCTGCGTCGATGCTCAAGCCTCTGCATCGATGTGAGACGCCTGAGCCGCACTTCTCTTCCGACCCTTCTCTCTCTTCTCGCATCTTCTCGCCCACCCGTCGCGCCTCGGCCCTAGCCCGCCGGGCTTGCAGCTGCGCAAGGGCACGGAAGGTGGCCACGACCGCCGCGGGCGGCAGCGCCAGCCCTGCGGCCTCCGGCAGCCGCCGCAGCAGCGCGGCCTCCGCGGCCTCCGCGGCCTCCGCGGCCTCCGCGGCCTCCGCGGCCTCTGAGGCCTGGGGCGACTCGTCCGGGCGGGAGCGCACAGACAGCAGGAAGCCAGGCAGCAGGGCAAGGCTGCACTCTGACATCCGCGTGGCCAGCGCATGGCACCAGCCACTTCTGCTTGGGTGCAATGGGAACGCCAAGATCGCCATGAGGACGTCATCCGCCTGGTAGGCCCTGGAATCTGAAGCAGCCTTCACACCTTCAGCTTGCGCTAATGCTACGGACAAAGCTTCCAAAGTGTCAGCCTGAATCTGCTCCTTTGCCTGTTCCAACAAGCGGTGCGTGGCTTCCTTCCATGTGTCGGAGTCCAGGCCCATGGCTAAACTTGCTAGGGCGAGCTGGCAGCTTGGCGCTGCTGGCCGCTTCAGCGCAAGGGCCACGATACCCGCTGGGTGCTGCAAGGAGGCGAAGGCCTGAGCGGCCCGCACCATCTGCAAGTCGTCCAGGGCTGAACCTTCCGCATCCGCGGAGCACTTGGCGCACATGGCGCACATGGCCTCGGTGGACAGCAGAGCACGGCGCAAGCAGGGCACCATGAAGCCATCAGCGTTCTGGGCGCGGGCGTAGGCCTCCAGCAACGAAAGCACCTGAGCCGCCGGCCACTGTGCCAGGCGCTGGGGCACCAGCTCCGCTGCCAACACCAGCAACCGGGGCTCCACCAGCCCCAGGCGGTCGATGGCCTGCAGCGCACGACTGGCGTCCTGGGGCCTCAGCAGCCGCAGCTCCCGAGCCACGCGCATGGCCAGCTGCGCTAAGAAGAACTCCCTTTCCTGCTGTGCTTGCTGCAGCTGCTGCAGCTGATGTGCCTGCGTCTGCACATCTGTCTGCGCCTCGCTCTGGGCGTCTTTGGCCTCCTTGGCCTCCTTGGCTTCCCGCGACTGTAGCGCTGCAAAGCACAGCGAGAAGGACTCCAACACAGGAGGCAGGGAGTTGGCATGCAAGGAGTTCAGCTCTGCCAGGATCTCCTTCTGAAAGGCTCTGATGACCTCTGGCTGGTCAATTCGCAACTTGCCCATGGCCAGGGTGGCAGTGTGCAGCTGTGAGGCTTCCAACTCTCTAACTTTCAGGGCCAAAGTCTCTGCGAGCTCTTTTGCTGCCGCCCGGCCAGGTGACTGGTACTCAGTAAGCAGGGCCAGGCTGCTGAAGAGATCCAGGCACACATCCAGCCGCATGCCGAGGACGCCATCGACTGCCCACGCATCCAGCGTCCGCAGAAACCGCGGGCAGCGGAACTCCAGTTCAGCGAAGGCGCCGGCGATCATTGCCAAGCCCTTGCCGTTGAGCTTGCCGCTAGCTGTGGCCTCCTCAGCGGCACTGGACAGAGCCTGCAGCACGGGGCCACTGCGGAGCTTCATCCGGGCAAAGGCCTGGGCCACCGTGGCTAGGTGCGTCGCCTGCATGGTGGCCGCGTGCTGCACCAGGCATGAGGAGAGCTGGGAGAAGGCCGGATCATGCCACCGCACCGCGCCGAAGGCCCAGCAGGCAGCAGTGAGCTGGCGCGGGGTCATGGCACTGGCCAGGTCCTGTAGAGCCAAGGAGCCCCGGCTCCAAAAGTCAGGGTTCTCCAGGGACATCTTGGAGGCCAGGAACAGAGTCTCGGACACCTCCCCTGCAGTCATGTCCTGAAACGAGTACTCGAAGAAGCTGCCCTCCGATTTCAGTCGTTTCCATGCCTTCGAACTCAAAGGCCGGTCGTAGTGCTCGTACTCGTCCAGCCGCTGCCGCCGCTTTGCGAAATGCCGGGCGCCCAGAACTCGCCAGCCCCAATGCCAGGCGTTAGGTCGCGCCCACATACCCCAGGCTCACCAGGCTCAGTCCATGCCCAGCCAATTTCTACTCATTGCTTCAACGGTTGTTGGGGTGATCTGTTGCATGGGTGAGGTGGGCCAGGTGGGCTTAAGTGGGCTAGGGTGGGTGGGTTGGGTGGGTTGGGTGGGTTGGGTGGGTTGGGTGAGCTGGGTGGGCTGGAAGAGCTGGATGACTTGAAGGCAAAAAGACAGACAGGTGAATGGCAAGTCAGAGTAACAAGACATCGGCCACACAAGGCTGTGAGCCGCATTGACACAGCATTTGGCTGCCGAATCTCCGCGCCAACTTGTACATGCCAATCTAATGCAATCAGGCAAACCAAACCATGTCACAAGTTGGCCCCCTTTCTCTCATCTCGCTTTTTCCATTGGCATGGCACAGGGACCAGAACTGGCACGAACAGCTCTTGGCACAGATCAATGGGCACTCCAAACCTCCAAAACAACATGCATGAACACAATTCTAACATCCAGCTTGGGCCTTACCCAGCCAAGTTGGACTGTTCTGGCCAGTTGCACTTCGGGTCAATGCATCATGAAGATGCGGTCCTGCAGCAACATCTGGCAAAAGCTCGCTGGTGTCTTGAATGTGTTAAGAAACTTGCGTATATGCTCCTGGATGAGGTAGCAAGCCACCGAGTTGGCAACAGCAGTGCCTGCCACCTAAGTGCAGAACGGACGCGCCCGACATAGCTAAGTGGTCGCACGCGCCTTGAGCACTGGCAAGCCGCCAGCCCCTCGCGTCGACGAGAGCTTGACACCTGCAAACTTCCCTGACTCAGCGACTCCCCCTCCCTTTCACATCCTTTCTACTCTCCAAATCTCGCCGACTCGTCTCTCGTCTCGGATGGAATGTCCACAGCTGGGCGGCCCCGCCAGCGCGCCGCGCAATACCGGAGGAGTCGTTCGCCAACAAACGCGCGACCTGCCAGGTACGAAGTCGTTCGCGATGCAAGCGAAGTCAAAGCCTCCTCGTTGGGCATCGCCAGCTGCAGCGTCAGCGTCCCCAGGTCGCTGGAAACGCCGAGTCCGAGGCCAAGACCCCCACCGCCTGGGCCCAGGCCAGCGAGGCCACTGGCGAGGCCACTGGGACCTGCGAAACGCTAAGTGCCCAATGCCGAAGATCCGAAGATCCGCAGATCCTTAGCGCACCTGGCGAGGCCCGCGCGCTGGATAAGGCACCTGCTGCACAGTTCGAGTCAGGTGCGAGGGCAATGCGGGCAACCAGATGCCTGCAAGGCCCACGCCGAGGTCCATCAGCGCAGAGCCTGCGCGCACCCAAAGGCCGACATCCGATTGCCCAATTTCAAGCCATAAGCTGCATTGGTCCATCAGCCTGCAATGCTGCAAGCAAGGCACACTGCTCAGGCCTCCAGTTAGGCCTGTCGCGTCACGGCCTAGGAGTGCCAAGCGACCCCAACTGGGCCCCTGGGCACAATGTGGGAGAATCCGTGTTTTGTCAGAGCACCCGGGAATTTCCACAGTCCGCAACAACTGAAGCTTTTTGCTTTGTATTCTCCCACTCATGGTGGTATGAGGTGAGCGAAGTTACATCGCCAAAGTCAAACCAATGTCAGCACAAGCCATGTCTGAAGCAGGGAAGCCCGCCCTCGCGGCCGCGCTGCTCCAGGGCACTGTGGACTTGCCTCACAACCTCACTCAGGACGCCGCGTTTCAGGAGATTGACGTAGAAACGTTGCTTGATGTTGTTTAATAGCGAGGCGGCTTCACCACGCTGGGGCCCAAGCGTCTACTCTCTGGGACACGCTGCCTTTGATGTCCATGAGACGAAACCGATAGTCCCCATCCTGCCAAGTTTGAGAGACAAATGTGACGAATGTGTGGTCTGGGCGGTTCTTCCGGATTGCACAGTCCTCCAGGTGCTCAGCCTTGTGCTGCTGCACCTGCCCAAAGCTTTGAAGCCAACTCAGCCCATGTCCGATGCCAAGGTTCATACTGGTGGATGCATGACATCCACACAGTATGCAAAAGCCGACTGGAAGCGCAAACCCGAACGGATCCACTAAAACGGGCTGGCAAGCAAACAGCATGCACACTGTGCCCCAACCTGAGCCAATGCCAGGCCTGCGCTTTGCTGCTCTGGATGATGCTTCTCAATGTCTCGCCGCGGTGGCCCATGACCTCAGAGTCAAAGTTTCTCCGGAATCTGGGCATTGAAGGCATTGCGTGGGTGCCCGGACAGAACCGAAGAGCTCTGTGGGGACCAGCAGCCGCAGTTTGCCCTGACGCAAGTTGCCCAAACGACAGCCACTTCATCGGGAGCCCGGCCGGGCCATCCCGGGCCAAGTCCTCCGCCACCTTGGCCGCTGCGACGTTCGACGTGATGCGACGTGCGACGTGCGACGTGCGACGTGCGACGTGCGACGTGCGACGTGCGACGTGCGACGTGCGACGCGAGTCCGGAGTCGAGGCCCTGAGGCGCGGGCCATCTGAACCACCTTCACGCGGGACTCCAAGGAGGCAGCGGAAATCTCCAGCACGCGCTCCGAGGGATCGAAGGGCGGCGCGTCGGCATCCACCATGTTCACCTCACGTGACTCACGTGACTCACGTGACTCACTTGACTCACGTGCATAACATTTGCATGGCCACCTGGACCGGTCGACCTCTAGCACTTATCGCTCTCCGCGCCTTGGCCCAGTCTCGCAACCGGGCGATCTTGTTGCCTAGCCCGCAGACATTGTAGAGAGAGAAGCACCCACCCCTTCCGCCCCCCGCCTCGCTTGCCAACAATCCAAGCAGCGTCCTCTTTCGCAATGAGGAGCCGAACAGGCACCTGGGCAAAGCCGTCAAATCTTGCGAATTCCTACAAATATCCTTGCGCACTTGGCTGCTTGCCTCCTTCTGATCTCTGGTCGCACTGCGCATTGGTGCGTTAAAAAGCATGCCTCAAACAAAACAGTACCGTACCACTCGCGGGGATGGGGTGGGGTATGTGCAAGTCGCCTTGAGATGCCTCGCGAAGCTCGAAGTGCTCCGTCTTCAACACCCCTCCTGCAAGGTGAGGCAAAGAACAAGCCTCAAGAGCTTCCGTTCTTTAAGCTCTGACCAGGCATGCCGGCCATGCCGGCCATGCCGTCGCGCCTGCCATCAGCTCGCCGAGAACTTCCAGCAATCTGGCCAGACGTGACATCGGGGCGCAGGGCGTTGCAGTCTTCTTGGAGCTTCACTCCAGGCCTCCAAATGGCTGCAGCCGCATCAGGCATCGTAGTGGCACTGATTCGAACCTGTGGGCAGCAAACGCAGCGACGACTTTTGAAATTTTGGCCGCATCGGGCCTTCTTCTGCTCGGCCAAACCGCAAACCGGATCCTGACACCGCATCACACACGCGCACACACACACAGCGACAGGGCGACAGGAGCGACAGGCAAATGCGACAAGGCAAGCCCACAGTCCTGACCCACTCGAATATCACACCTCGTCTCCTCAATCAAACAGCAAGTGCCACCCTTTGATGCCTTCAATTCCTGCCTGGCAAAGAGCCTTGACACGGTCCCCCTTCTGGCCGATCAGGTGTGACCCACTCTTCTCTGGCACAAGCACCTTGCAAATCACACAAACGGTCACTTCCCGCCAGGCTTCAGTATGCTTCGTTTGCTTCAATGCCTCCACGATATAGTCTCTATCTCTGGCTGCTCCTTCTACCTGGAAATTCTCAGTGCGCTTTCTGGGATCGAGCCAATCCGACTCCCTCACTCAGGCTCCAGCAGTGTCGGGCAGCCCTGACCGATCGAAGACCCGCTCCAGGACGCCCGAGATGGCCTCACGTCTTTTCTCCAACCCTGCAACAAACCCTGCAACAAACCTTGCGCGTCCTTGCCCTCTCCTAGCGGTCCTAGCGGTCCTAGCGTGCTCCCCTCCCCCCCAGCTGGCCTCCTGCACGGCCGCGGTATCCCCTGTGATCACGGCCACCCGATCCTCCCGACGCTGCATCTCGTGCGGCAGCTCCTTCCAATGCGCCCATTTCGAGGCAAAACGAGACTCCTTTACCGTGATTTTGATCAGGCCCAATCTGAACGCCGCTTCCCCCTTTTCCCCCAACCCCCTTTTGTCGCCTTTTGGAGGACACGCACGCTTGCACCACCTGAGCTGGCGCAATGATCTCTTGCTTGCCAAACTCTCACTCACTTTCAGATTCTGTTGGATGGCCACGTACTCGACCGCAATTGAGAGGTTGACGTATCTGAAATTGGGCGGGCCCGAACTTGCTGGGCATCGCGCTCTGCTCCCGGATAGCCTTGATGTTGGCGCCCTGTTTCCCGATCACACGTGCTGCCGGCACAACGGGCAGGAAGATGTGGCATGGAACCTGAGTCCAAAGATCCAAAGCCGCTCCACATCGCTCCACTATGTTGCACTTGCATCTCGGAACTGGAAGCGTTTTTCTTCAAGAAACTTCCCTCTCAGCTCGAAACCCGTGGAAGCTCCTCCGGGGTTCGCTCCACGGCCTTCTCCTCCTCCGCTTCCTCCTCCGCCTCCTCCTGGTCGAATCGCGGCCGCTGGTCTGTATTTGCGGTGACACCGGCCTCCGGCTCGGCCATGGCCGGAGCAGTTGCAGTGCCAGAACTTCAGGCTCACTATGGCTCACGAGTTGATACTGTTTCCCACGAGCTGAGACGCCTGTTGCACTGTCCCAAGGTTGCCTAAGGGCTGCAAGCTGAAGTCTTGCAAGCTCTCTCCAAGCTGAGAGGCTTGACATGGTTTGACGGCAACACGAGCGCCACGGCCCGGAAAGGTGCTGACACCAATGGATGCAAATGGGTGCCCACATGGACAATGCTTGGGGTGCCTAGTTGCGCACGCCCATTTTCACGTGACATGAACCTCCTGAGTCCAGATCTTTGCCGGAGAACATACGATCTTGTTCTGCGATGCACCGGCTCACAAATCCTCTTCATCGGGGTCCTGCGATCCGAGCAAATCGGATCAAGTCTTCGGATGCCAAGCGTCTGTCCAGTAGGCCGCTTTCCGCAGCTTCAGCGCCCTCCTCTGAAAGCAGTCTTGTTGGCTCGGTCGCTTGACTCAAGCTCGCGCCTTCACCGGCGGCGGCTTCGCGTCGAACTTGATGCTGCACTCTCTTTGCAGCCAGGCAATCATGTCTTCTGGCTGACGGCTGCCATGGTACATAACCTGAAGATTGCAAAATCCAAATGGGAATAGAGCAGCCAAGCTGAGAGACAGGCGTGCCGCTTTGGCAACTTGCCGGCAGGGAAGAGAATGATTGTAGGGAAGCCAGTGATTTGCACGCCCTCAACCTGCACGTTGACACAAGCGCAGTATAACAGCATGCTATCTGGCTTGCGTTGCGAGTTCGAATGGACTCACGCGTGCAAATCAGTGTGACTGCCTCGTTCCGGGTGGCGTCTATCTTGGCGATCTTGAGGGACTTCACGTGTCTCAAGTTCCTGAGAGCAGATTGACAGGGTTCGGGCGCTTGTTGTCCAAGCTGAGAGCAAGACTTGGCAAGCTCCTTGTAGAGCGGCTCAAACTTTCGGCAATGGCCGCACCTGCGCTTCCAACAAATAAAGAGCCAACAATGCATGTCTTGGCCGGCAAAAAACACAGTGGGCTTCAAACACGCCGGCGGGGCCAAGGAGCAAAGAAGTCTACCAAAACATCCTGGAGTCGTGCGTGAAGCAGCAATATAGGTGCAGTGGCTCAAAGTTTAAAGCTAAGTTCCAACATGCTATGTGTCGCCACGGCCTTGGGATGATTGTGCAGCCAGCATGTGAACATAGCACCGGCAGCACAAGCAGCCAGCACCACCGGTCAACAACACCAAGACATAGAGTAAACTAGGTCAGTCAAGGCTGGTTACAGGTGCGAAGTGCGTTGCAAATGATTGCGATGAAGCCTTTGGAATGACTGAGCGTCCCTGCAAACATCAGTTTCAAATATCAGACTCTGGCCACAATTATGAGAGAGCCAACGAATACACCGAGCCCTCCCCTCCTTGCTCTCATCTTCAACCCCGGCCGTGAAGGTGGTGCCCACAAGTGGCACCACAGCCACTTTCATGTCCTGGGGCCAAATCCGCAAAATTCGGAGAGCCGAATTCGGACAGAAGAAATTTGCAAGCCAAAGTCGCCTCGGCCGAAGGCTCCGCCTCGCTCTTCAGCCAAGGCTTCAGTCTGCCACCCTCAAAGTCGGACACGAAGCCCACGATTTTCTCTGACGTGGCTCCTCACATTTTTGCAAGAGACTCGAATCGATCACTGCTTGACTCGCGGGATCCTCCAAGTGGCAGTCGATACTTCCTGGGGACGTGGTACTGACCCCTGGTGCTCTCATAGCTTGGGACCTAGCGCACAAAAAGGCCGGCTTGTGCGCTGCTTGGCTTCCCTTACGTGACTAGGGCAACCTCCACGAGCGCCAGCAGCGGAGGCTGCCCGTCGCCGACCATCTCCACCACGCGCCGCTCCATCAACGAGGATGTGCCCTGTCAGCCGCCGAGCCGCCGACTGTGAAAGTGACTCAGACTCTGCGAATCTGGCGGAAATGCAGGCGTGCACGCGGCCCCGAAGCTTCATGGCTGCCTGGGCTTGCACACGGCCGCTTTGGTGTCCCTCGTTTTACAAGAAAGCTCGGTTCACGGATCATGTTCAAATTGCGCCTCTCTGAACACTTTCTCTTCTGCACTGTCAGCACTGTCAGTGATGAAGATCAGTGCCTTGCCAAAGAGGCAGACTCAACTCCCCTCTCTGGCCCATGTCTCAGAATCTGGCCGGCACGTTGTCCGGGTTGGCACTAAAAATCTTCTCTGCTGCGTCTTGGTCCATACCTGGGCCGACCCAGGCTGCTCTGAATTGGCAAAAGATGACAACCTCCCCCACTCAGCCCCCCCCCCAAAAGGAGAAGCAATGTAACGCCAAGGCAAGCCCAGTGCCAGGCGCATCACAGTGGGCGTGCGTCTGCCATTGATGAACCTAAGCAAGTCTACCCATGCAAGCCGCACAAATGTTCAGCATGTTCCACCAGTTCCAGTCTGCAAGTCTGCGACTTGTCCAGCGCATGGTAGTTTGTGAGATCGCCCTCGAAAATTGCGTAACGCTCGTCATAAGGGAAGAACCTCAGGCGGTCAGATGCGCTTGCTCTGGGAGATCGACAAGGGCTGCTGAGACGAACACATCACCACAGATGGCACCGGAAACTTTGGATGCTCCTGAGCTTGCGCCAGGAGTGGCGAAGCCATAGCAGTCAAGGCCGCACTTGCCAACATGAGTGATCCGATGTCTGTCGTCAGTTTTGTTCGTTTTCCCCAGCCTTCTCCACCTTCTTCTCGTCGTCACAGCACTTGATCTGAATCAGTTGACCCCAGCCGGCAGACCTAAGACCCCCCAATGCAAACACAGCACCTGAAGCACCTGAAGCACCTCACTTCCCGCTCTTTCGAGGCGCCCAAGGCCGGCGCTGGTCAGTTCGTTTCACCGTCAGGGTCTTGCCTGCTTGCACGCTGTACCATTACACGGACTTTGGAAGCGGAAGCAATCCGCTAAAAGACTAAACTTGCTTCAGAAGGTATGCAAAGCTCTCTGAGAAACCATGCACGCCTCAGAGATCAGACTTCCAGTATTTTTCTCTTGGACAGCGTGCCCAGAGGGACCAATAGACCCTTGAAAATTCGACCCTTTTTAAATAAGGGTGTAAGCCCTAGATTGCAAAGTCAAATAAGGGTCTATTTTTTTACACCATGAGGGAGGGAGGGGAACACATGAGGGAGGGAGGGGAACACATGAGCATCACTCTTCTTGTCTCGCATGGCTCAGCAGTTTGTATATAGTGCCCTGCCGCCATGGCGGGATTAGAACCCGATGCTCGAACTCTCGTCGCGATTTTCAGGAAGCACATGCCAGGAGGACCAAAATCTGCAGACTACTTGCAGCCGGACCCAGACATTCTGTGCGCAAGGCTCGAAGATCTCCTCATGGACATATGCCGCATTCAGAGGCGCAAGACTGGCAAGTTCTTGCAAACTTGCATCAAAGAAGCTTGGGCCTTGAGTCATGGCGAAGTCAAGACTTTGCTCAAAGACTTCAAGCAGGTTTGGAGCACATCTACCTGAAGAAGAAGCAGGCCACCTCAGGCAAGAAGCTTGCCCCTGCAGTTGCCAGGATAATCAAGCTTTTGAGCAAGGAGGGCTTGGCTGAGGTGCCAAACGCGTCTGAGCAAGGCAAGGAGGACCTCCAAAACTTGTGTCCAGAGCAAGTCTCCAAGCTCTACGAGAAGTTTGGCGTGGACACTGTCCCAGAGTTGGCAGCATCCAGCAGTTCCCAGTTGATCCCCATGGAGGTTTGCAGCTCCCAAGAAATTCTCGCAAGCCAGGCGTCGGCAGCACCCCCAGATGTCAACTACAAGCAGTACACTTGTTCGCACGCCGTGGCCCTCGTTCGACTCTTTCCTGACGGCTCCAAAACAACTGCCACCATGAAGGTGGGCCCGGGAAGCTTTGCCTTGGGCTGTTTTTCTAGCGAGGAAGAACACGAAAGTGAGATTCCCAATTCCATGGTGTTGGCCATGGATCCCAAGGTCAAAAAAGCTGCAAAGGCAGCTGCAAAGGCAGCTGCTATGGCCTTGAAAAGGCCTGCCAGCAAAGCACCTGCTGACTCTGGGAGTTTGAAAGCCATGAAGAGGCCGGCAGCTGCCCCTGTTGGCCTTCCAAAGTGTAGTGATGCCTCGAATCATTTATTTGCTGTCATGCACTATAAGAACAGCAATTCGTACGCCATTCGTGCAAAGACTGGCACCAAAGCCCAGCTCTTTTGTGTCCCCTTTGGTGAAAGGACTCCACAGCAAGTTTTTGGCATTGTCAAGGATGCTGTGGCTAAGCTCACCGCTGGAGACGATGTCCAAGCTGTGAAGGAGTGGGCACGATCTGCGTAGAACACGGTACACTGTGGTCCAAAACCTGCACTTGTTTTTTGGGGAATGCGCATGTTCGAATGTATATGTGAACGCATCTGCAGTGTGTGTTGTTGCAAACAGGCCAGGCTGTGTGAACACACGCAATTTCAACTGACACATTCTTACGTACAAAAGGAACAAACGACAAACCACCACAATGTTTATGAGGGAGGGAGGGAGGCGACCTTGGTGGGAAGGATGGTGGCTTGAAAGTGTTCTGTTTTAAAACTGTTGCAAACCAACCATGTGCAGGAGGGAGGGAGGAGCTAAATTGTTGTAACATGACCCCAATGGTGTTTTTTAGAAGGGATGATGTTGGAATAATTTGTAGCTGTAAAAGGGATTGTCTAAGGGGGACTGGGCGCTTGACACATGCTTGGTCGCAGTTTGCTTGATGCATGGCTCATGTTGGAAACCTGTTGCTTGATGCATGGCTCATGTGAGCGATCCTGATGTCTCGGTGCCATCATGTCTCGGTGCCACCATGCCTTCCCTGAAGAGGCCTGCCAGTGCCCCTGCAAAAGCAAAGTGCAAGGTCAAAGCCAAGGCCAAGGCCAATGAGCCCCAGGCCAAAGCTGCGCCCCCTGTAGAGGGGGAAGAAGAAATGTCGCCTGAAGCCAAAGCTGCATCCATTGTTTTGGAGCAGTTGCAAGAGAGCATGGGTGGGCCTGATGGCTTTGTGCCTGCAAACCCAAGCTTGGCTGCCATACATGCCACTGTGACAGAGGCATGCTAGGAGGCTTTGGCTGCCAAAGCTGCCCCGGACGCTGCGCCTGCTGCTCCTCGCCCATGGTGTCCTGACCAGTGGACCGAGGATAACCGGACCTGGTGGCGTCCTTGCAGGTTGTGCTCTAAGAGGTACTACTGGCGGGTCGGCTGTATGAGCACAAAGTGCGTTTCTTGGCTGGGAGGGAGGGACCGAGAGTACGGGACTGGGAGGGAGGGACTGGAAAAAAGGGACTGGGAGGGAGGGACTGGGACTGGGAGGGAGGCACTGCAAGAGACGGACTGGGAGGGAGCTGAAACATGTTTTTCCCTGTTGTCTCAGGCTGACTTCAAGAAGGAGGAGCTGGCCAAGGACAAGAAGAAGGGCAAGAAGAAGTGGAGCAAGCAAGACTGGATCGACCCTGAACTGAAAATCATGGGGGGAGGATGTGGTCACTGAAAAATAATGCAAAACAAGACAACCTATAGGGAGCCCGAAGGAAGGAGGGAGGGAGGAAGGGACGGCAACTTGTAATGCCAATATCGCAAGCTGCCACCCGAGGACTGGGATGCAGCTACATTTGCTCCAATTCATAGAAGCACATTTATGCAAGACCATTGTACAGCATGGTGAGGGAGGGAGGGAAAAAACCACCATGATACCTGCCAGGTACCACCTGTACCTCCTCCTGTGCCTCCTCCACCGAAACCGCCAGCGGTACCACCTGCAAGGCCACCAAACGTGAAATTCGGAGGCTTCAAAGCCATGCCTGTCCCCAAGCCGGTTGTGAAAGCACCTGCAGCCAAAGCTACGCCAAAGACCACTGACCACCCCCCAAAGCCTGTGGGGTGGTTTTTGGTCAATTCGACGGTGACAGTGGCAGAAGTTTATGATGTGGCCGACCAGCCTGCCGCTCCCATGTTGCCTCCTCCTCCTACAAGGAATGAGGCAGGCTATCGTGCGTATGCTGCAGCTATGCATAGGCAGCATCAGCAGGAGTAATTGGCATGTGCAGTTGGCAATATGGAAAAACACATTGCATGCTGGCAGGGTGTCATGCCAAATACTTGTATGTTGAGGGAGGGAGGGATGGATGGAATGAGGGAGGGATGGAGGGAAGGGGAAGGGAGGGAAGGGAGGGAAGGAGGGAATGGATGGAGGATGCTAGTTTTGTTTTTGAAAAAAGCACTCGAACTTCAAATGCGCAATATTTGAATGATCTCAATGGGCACCATTTCATGCAAACCTTTTGGAAAAAACTTTGGTCCCTTGTTGGTCCTTGGTTGGTCCATTGTTTTGATCCATTGTTTTCACTCAATCAAGGGAAATGTACACTCATTTTTTCATTGGGCTGGATCACATTTTTTTATATTCATGAAATATTGGCAGTTGCAAAAATGTTTGAAACAGGTCCCAAACAGTCCTAGGGAATTGCCATAGCATGTCATGTCAACATGATCTTGAGGATTTGATAGGGTTTGCGCAGTGACTGGCATCCACCAAGTCTGTGTACAATGCCAGTGCTAGAATGTGATGAATGTGGACTGGAGAAAAAACATGGTTGAAAAAGTTGAAAATTTTCAACTTTTTCAACTACATTTTAAATGTAAAGTAAAGGAAAAGGGAGTTGAAAAAGTTGAAAATTTTCAACTTTTTCAACCCTGGTTTTTTCTATGAAGATACCCCACTTGTTTATCTTGATGTCTGATTGGCATTGATCCTTGAACATTCTGGTATTTTTACATTTGAGAGAATCCTGGATGGATGGATGGAATTTGCACTTTGCTCCATTTAGATTTGCAGCATTATAGTGCTAGAATATTTTGAGCTTCTCAGCAATGGCTGCAAAGAGGAATGGCCAGAAGGATGCCAAGGCCAAGGCATCGGCCAAAGGAAAGGCAGCTGCTGCCAAGGCAGCTCCTGCCACTTTGAAGTCTGTGAAGAAGGAGCCTGACTCCCAGGAGAAGGCCTCTTCTGGCCCTTCAGTTGACAAAGCCGCCCAACAAGGATTCATCAACAGCATCAAGTATAGGGCCAACACTAAGAACGACCCTGATGCCCAGACCTTGTTGGAGGCCTGATGTTTAAGAATACAATAATAATATGCAAATTTTATTTTGCATTCAGACCCTAATTAGTAGATTTTGTTTTCCAATTTTTTAACCTTCAGTTTTTCACATTTTGAAATTTGGTAATTTTTCTCAAATCAATCTACTTTCTGTGGCCTTTGCAGGCCTACAATAAGATGAGCTCCACCGAGAAGAAGGCTCTGATTTCGAGATTTCAGGCCCAGGGGGGCTTGAAGAATCTTTCTTGGGCAGCCGAGCTCAAGCAGGAAGCCATTGACTCCACCACTGTGACCTCCAATACTGAGAAGGGCATGTTCACTGCCTCCCAGATTTTGAAGTTCCATGGGCTTGTGGTTGGAGTCAATATCACCCAGGAGCGGCAGGATGTGGTTCTGAAGGAGCTCCTCAGAGAGAACCGGGAGGAGTTGGGCCTGGATCCCAACATCAACATCGATCAGGTGCATCCCACCATTCCTGAGCTGAGCCGCTACTACTACGAGAAGGCAAGCTCCAGCACCTCGACTTCGAATCAAGTTCAAACCACCTTGGAGGTGGGCTCCAGCTCTGTCAAGACGGACAGCTTGCTCAAGCCCATGATCGCTCATGGGGACGAGAGCACAGGTGTCCATGAGAATCCCGGCTACGCCGCCCTGCTGGAGACCATGAAGGCCTTGCAGTCTGTGAAGGGCAAGGTCGATAAAGAGCTGGCCCTGGCCAGGAGCCTTTTGCTTGACTTGGAGGCGAACGAGACTGAGGCATTTTTGCCAACTCAGGAAGAAATTGCCACCATTTTGAAGGCTGTTGACTCCTGGTTGCTTTTCTGTCGGAAGGCCCTCAACCAGGGAAACAAAGCCAACCCAGACACAAAGCTGGAGGAGCTCAAAGAGCTGGCCTCCCAGCTTGAAACTGTGAAAGGGAGTGGTGTCGTCCACCTGGATGGCTTAAAGGGCGTCCAAAAGAAGCTGAAAGCCTTGCTGTGAAGAGAACGTGCAGGAGGGAGAGAGAAAAACGACCTTGTCCTTCACTTGCTGACTGTGCAGCTTGAAATACAGTGCCAGCCATTTTCGAACTTTGTCTGAGTCATGTCAAAATATTTTGTGTTACAACGAGAGAGAAGGAGAGAGAGAGAGAGAGAGAGAGAGAGAGAGAGAGAGAGAGAGAGAGAGAGTGAGAGAGAGAGAGACAGGTAGAGATACAAGAATTTGCATGCGCAGCTCCTTGCTCGATGTCATGTTCAGTTGTTAGATGCAAGCTGGTAAGCCATGGCATCTGTGTGGCACAAAGTGCTCCTATGGATGATTTTCTGGGATGTGACACCTGCTAGTGCCATGTTCCACAACAAGAAGAGTGGGGACAATATTTTCGAGTCCCCCACCAAACGGTTGAGGCAGCATGTTCACACACTGTTTTTGGACAACAAGCTGAGTGGACAAGAAACCCAGCTTCTGGAGAACCAGATTGGAGCCTGTCATGTGCAAGGCTTCAAAGAGCATGCAGGCCCATCTGTCAATGTCAGCAAAAAGGCTGCCAGGGACATGCTGAGAAGATGCTTGAAGGGCACAAAGTGGCCCAAAATATATACAGCTGAAATACGAATTTGGGACGCCAAATTACAAGTGGAGAAGTACGCCAAGGTAGCACTGCTGCTGCCACATGAGCTTTTGCATGTTCTTGGCACCATGAACTCAGCTGAGACTTTGACGCAACTGGATGGTGCTGTGGAGTCTGTGCAGGCGCATTGCAGGAAAGCACAAAGAGCTTTTGGCAGCCCAACGTGTGGCTTCGGATTGTGGAGTGATGCTACTCCATTCAACTGGGACAGAACAAAGACTTTGGAAATTATTTTGATCAGTTTTCCAGGGCTAGAGCCTCCACATCATACAGTCCGAATTCCGGTCTGTGCGATTCCTCATGAGTTGGTCCCCAAGGAGAAAACATTTCAAGATATTTTTAGCATCATTGCATGGAGCTTCCAGTGCATGGCCATTCAATTCATGCCCAACCACAGGCATGATGGCAGTCCTTGGTGCGTCCCAGAAGACAATTGGAGGAAACAACGGCAAGGCTTACCCTTGCCTTGTCCTGGTGTTCTTGCTGAAGTGCGATGTGATTGGACATGTCAAGCTGAAGTGTTTGGCCTTCCCAGCTGGCAGCAAAAAGCTGGCATTTGCTGCAAATGCTCTGCCACCTTGGAAACCTTCACTGACTTCACTTCCAATGCTGTGTTGAGGACCGAAAGATACAGCCACTGGGATTTTCTGGAGAAACTCGAATCCTTGGACAGGCCAAGGACTGCTCTTTACAAATGTCCATTCTTCACCACCGAAGTTTTTAAATTGGATTGGCTGCATGTTGCAGATTTAGGCTGCAGCTGCGATATGCTTGGCAATCTTCTATGGTATGTTCTGCCCAAATTTGGTGGCACCAGGCAGGAGCAACTGAGTGCGTTGTGGCTCCGTATGAAGATATATTACGCTGACTGCGCCATCCAAGACACAATTGGCAACTTGACCTTTGGCATGCTGAGGAAAAAAGCACCACTTCGCCCAAGCTGAGAACTAGGGCAGCTGAGACAAGAGCATTGATCCCCTTTGGGGAATCCATTGCTCAGTCCATGCTGGACAGCGACATTCCCTTCGAGTTGGGCATCAAGGATGCCATGCATTTTTTGCAATTGTCTTATGATTGCCTTCACAAGGACCGATTCGACCAGGTCCATTTTCAGAATGTTGTCTTCAAGTTCTTGCAAACATATCAATGCCTTGGATCTTTGGCAACTGAAGAATACACTTGGCATCTCAAGCCGAAATTCCATTTGCTTGCTGAGATTGCTTTGGCTGGGGACTGCCCGTCTTTAAATTGGTGTTACCGCGATGAGGAAGCTGGAGGTAGCATCAGCAAGATTGGCCGCTCCAGAGGAGGCCAACAAACTTTGTGGTCTGTGTCCAGTAGATGTTTGCAGAAATTCTGCTGCGACTTCCAGGCGCCAGTGTTTGATGAAAAAGACTTTGGCAGCCACGCGTTGCCTGCACGTTTCTGCGCTTGCGTGTCTGACTGGCAGCTTCAAAACATCAGCAACACTGGAGGGGGGACGGCAGGAGCAAATGTCGCATGGATTGGTTGGTTAACTGGGACTGCATGGAGGGAGGAAGGGAGGAGTCCAAGTTCCAGAACACAATTTTTTACCAAAACAAATAAGGGTCTATTTTTCTATTCGACCCTTAAATTAAACGCTTGTTAAAATAAAATTCGACCCTAACAAGCGCTTTCGACCCTTATAAGGGTCTATTGGTCCCGGGTGCTTCCAGCGGCTGCCCTGCACCGAAGCCAATGCATGCTCTAAACCTAGGGCAAGCTACAGACCCACGCCTGTATTGCACAGGCTTAGCTCTCCTGGCAGTCCAGCTGCCATCTACATGAGCTAAGAGGCTAAACTCCCTTCAGAAATCCTGGTCCAACGCAAAGGGCTCAGCAGAACCAGCCATGACACCGGCTTTCCGGCTTTCTGGTACTCACATGTGCTCACCCACCCGCTTCTCGCGAAAGTTGGTCTTCCCCGCACAGAGATCATCTCCATCCAGCCGAAGGGGTTGGTCTAGTACTGAGGCGAAACTCGATGCTCATCAAGTCCTTGATTTCTTTGCCAATTCGATCGAGCGCAAGATGTTACAAACGAAGTCCCGCTCCATGTCGACGGCGCCTCCGATTCCTGCGCGATGCCCTCTGACAGACAGGCGAAGTCCGCATGAAGCCCTTCTGAGGCTCGTTGGAACATGTCAGGCCAGGCAGCCCTCGTTTCGGCCGGAGTGTACAAAAAGCCCCGCACAACAAGCTCAGTGAAGGAGGCCTCGGCTCATTCGCTGCACCGCCCACTGTGTCGTGCATCGTCGGCATGGTGTGGAGCGTCGAACAGATGGTCCTTCTCAAGGCCAGCGCCGGCGGGCCTAAACTGACTGATCTCCATGTCCAAAAAGAAGCCTCGTGCACACGACCCAGCGCCGCGGCTTGTGCTTCAGGGGATCCTTCTCTAGCTCCGCGGAAACTCGTCGGAAACTCTGCTCTTCAGATCCGCTGAAGCGGAAAGCACCCGAGTGAGGTCTGCCATTGACACTGTCGCAAGCCTGAAAGCCCGGAATGCTTCTGAAACGCTTGGCCAGCAAGGAAGGTCCGGGTCAGTGGACTGTTGCTGCGGACAGCGGCTGGTTTGTCTCTTCCAAAACACGAAGCCTGAGCAAACTTGCCGAAGCAAGCTTGATGGCACAGTTCTGGATGGCGCACGGAGCGTACAAATCGACAAAGTGCTTCAGAGATTGTAGGCTAGGGATTGTGCAGAATGCCTCACTGTAACTTATTGCAAGCCAGAAAGCGAAGTCCTGTGCAAAAACAGACAATGTATGTTCTTGAACCAACCAAAAGTTACCCTCAGGAAGTGAACTAAGAATCCTAGCGCCAGTGTCGCTTTACTCAATTCCGCAGAAGAAGCTATTTGTGCACGGCTGCAGACAGCATCGGAAGTGCATGGGCAGAAGACTGTAAGCCCGGGCGGGAGGACAGCTGAAAGCTTAACATCCCAGCAAGTTCACATCGCCAAATAAAATGAAGAATGCAGAAAAAAAAGGAAAAACACGTAATACTCCATTTGAAAAGAACAACAGGTAAGGAATTCACACCAGTCAGAAATAGGAGATGAGTGGGCGAAAGATGCTCCAGAAGAAACAATACCTGCACATTTTGGAAGATGCGCGCATAGCTGAGAATAAGTTGCAGGTCAATGCAGGTCAAAGTCCCGTCTGGAGTACAAATCATCGCTGCATCTTCATTCATTTCCAGCCTTAATTAGACTTGGCCTCGACGTCTCCCTTTTTCCATTGAAACAACCCTGCAACATCAGAAAGTTAAGCTGCTTCTCCGCCTTGCACGGCGACCTCGAACTTGTCGGTCCACTCTGGGCGTTGTGGATTCCTCACAAAACATAAATAACAAAACAGACCCGAAGCTGTGACATCTCCAGGCGAAATACTGTCAATTTCAAGCGCTGGAAGACATCGCAGAAAAAGCCAAAAGAAGGCAATGTGGGTTAACACTTTTTTGGATGCTCTTGTACCACTACTGGCTGCGCCTGGTTCCGCCCCGCTGCCCCGAAATGCACTCAAGCAATGCTACCTTCGTTTTTCGTTCCAGAAAACTAGGGAAACGGGGAGCCCGCGAATGACCAAGAAGCGTCGATCGCAGCGGGGTCGATCATGCCACAAAGAAAGTGGAAATACATTGACCCAGTTTGAAGTGCCAAAGGCAGGTCCTGGGAGAGCCGTCGCAGTGCAGGTCGTCACGGGGAAGAGTGACCTGGCCAAGAAAGCTCCAATCCCGAATGGCCCTAATGCCTCCTCAACATGTGAGCCAGTTCTGGAGATCTTGCAGTTCTGCCTCCTTGCTACTTGAGCTGCTCTGACCCACTGTAATTGTCTCGCAGAGCAGGCGCGCGTGCCTCCAAGAATTTCAGCAGTTCAGCCATGTGAACAGCGGCCAAATTGGCTACCTCAAAATGTTCAAACCCCATCCTGCCGAGGTGGTCGGCGATCTCGGTGGCAATGGCCTGGCCCCTGGCCTGCCCGCGACGGCGGCTAGGTGAATGGTGAATGCATTCTGAATTCCTTGGCATCTTGGCATTGACTTTGGATCGATCCGCCTCTGCAAAGACAATGTCATCGTAGTGCGTGGCCGCCTGCCAGATCGGATCGAACATCGAACGGGGCAGGGAGCTGGTTCGCCTTCACGAAGCTGCTGCTGTCGAATCCTAGCTCGTGAGTCCGGCGTGCCATTCAGACCAGACAAGCCACCGACCGTCGGGAAAAAGCCCGACCACTGCAAGCTCGTTGTCGTGCAAGTAGGTCTCCGCATCCTGACGAGTCAGCCTGGCCTGCCAAGTTGGCCAAGTTGACTGCGTCCGCCTCCACTGATTTGAGCACATGGTCGCGCTCCAAGTGCCGATTCACCCATTTCACGATCTGTTGCCACCTGGACTCACTGTCTCAGTTTTAGGACTCGAGAAGGCTTTCCAGCGAAACCTGAGGGTCACACCCACGGCCTTGCCCGTCGTAGCTGAAGACAGTGCCATCCACAAAGAGCTTCATCGTGGGGTACTCGTGGATCTCGTTCTCCTCCCCCACGGACCTCAGCTTGGAACAGGACCTTATCATAAGGAGCTCCGAGCCATTCCGCGCTCAGATGCGCTCAGGCAGCAACGCATATCTGCTGGTGTCCACCTTCGCCAGGCGGATGGGCCTCGGGAGCGCGGCACGGGGAGAGACCTTCGGAAGGGCGAGGCTGCGAGGATGTCGCGGATCGTGGATCTCCAGCTTCTGCGCTGCCTGGTCCCACGCGGGCATGACCTGTGACGGAAGTGACGGAAAGAAAGAACAAAAGCAAACACGTGAACAGACCGACTGCATCCGACTGCGCTGGGCAGTGCTGTTTGGGCAACATTGGCTCTACCTTTGCAAAGATCCCTCTGGCGGCACTTGTCGGCAAGTCGTGAATTCCTACAGGAGCATGCAGTATGCTTTGCCTTCAGGCAAGCACTAAACAGACTGCGTCCAAGTACGCCACGGTGTGGGGATCAATGCAACATGCAAAACATGCTTTGCGCATGCACTTCAGATTATACAGTGTACAATGTGGCGGTATCTGCCAGCAAACTACTCAATCCAGCTCATGCATCCCACATGCACCACCCTGCTGCGCCTCAATCGGCGTAAAAGTCTTGGCTGCCATCAATCCACGAATGCAGACAACACCCGATGCAAAAACGACTGGCCTCACATGCACTCCAGGATTGTCCTCCTTAGGCTTGAAATCTGCCTGATCGACAGCTTCTTCCTTTGGCCAAAGCCCAGCTTTCCCAGCTTGCTGCCTAGCTTGCTGCCCAGCTTGCTGCCCAGCTTGCTGCCCAGCTTGCTGCCCAGCTTGCTGCCCAGCTTGCTGCCCAGCTTGCTGCCCAGCTTGCTGCTCGGTTGGCTTCCCAGATTGTCCGGACCGCGCAGACGCAGAGCCGAGAGTACGGCTGCGTGACCAGCGGCAGCTCGAGCTTCGCTCCATTGCGGACCTGGGCCTGCTGGGCCGACTGGCCTGACTGGCCTGACTGGCCTGACTGGGCATGCTGGGCGCGCTGGCACGCACGCTGGGCATGCGGCTGGAAGCCGTCTTTGGCCGGGAGACCGAGCCCTCACTGAAACAAACCTCCGTCAAGGGAATGGATCCCAGCTCCGAGACTGGCGGACTCGGCGCGTGCGCGGGTCCCCGCTGGCCGGAGCACCTTGGAGGGATCACATTTTGGCACAGAGGCGCTGTGCTTGGAAACCCGGACGTCGGCCTGCTTCTGGGCGACACACCTTGGCAACGCAAGACTGGTCAGTAGCTTTGGAATCCTGCACTCACTTCCTGACTTTCTCCAAGCTGCGACTCTTTTGGACCTGCACAGCCGGACGGCCATGCCGCTGGGCAAGAGCTTGTGCAAAGAAGTTCTGGTAGGATGTCCCCTTCTGAAGCGTCACGAGTTGCGGAGCCAGGCAAGTGCGGACGGCCTTGCTTTCATACAGATTTGGTGGCGCAGCCCTTTTGTTCACGGCCATGGAGCGCTTGTGGACCCGGAACATCGTGGCGCGATAGCTGTGAATGGACATATCGGTTTCCGACGCAAAGGTGGACTGGGATCCCACTGAAGTGGATCTTTGTGCCTAAGCCATCTGACAGGTGCGCTCACGTCTCGTGCTTAGAACCCCACGCACGAGTCTCCGAGACCACAGGCATTGTCTCGCCTGGCACTCAATCCTAGCATCTTTCCACCCAGTTCCGGCCTCGTGCGCGCCATGCCAATCACCTGCCACCAGCATGCCACGCATTGCCACGCAAGCCACATAGAACACAATCGGCCTCCAGCTCATCCCAAGCATGTCGGGATCTGGCCCGAGCAAGCGACACCAGACAAGTGAACTCGCAGATGGCACAAATGGCACTGCGGCAAGCATGCAACGAGTCTAAGATTACTGCCTGTCTGTGGTTGGAGAGTCAACCTGGGTGCAAGATACTTCCGTCCATCCAACTGTGAGCTGCCAGCCTGCGCCCATTGCCCCATTTCTAGCGCATCCTACAGCCCCTGACCAGCTCACCCTGGAGCACTCTGAAATCTGGACATGATGTGATTTTGCTCTCGAAATACAAATGTGAGCTACGAGCTGTCGTGCAAAATGGCTGCAGCACCCAGGGCCGGCAATCACGACAATCAGTCGGCAAGTCGGCAACTGGACTGGACAAATTGTCTGACAAACTGCGCCTGCTGAGAGAAAAAGCACCAGGGCGCGTAGAACAAAATCGCCGTGACAGGATGGTCCTTGCCGAAAGTGTCGGTTAAGCTGTAGGATTCATGTTGAGCTGCATGCATAAGTTGGAACGAGTTCGGAAAGTGTCCTTCATATGCTGCGAAAAGGTCCGATCCGTAAGCTCATCAACGGCCTGAAGCCGCACGGGCGTAAACATCCAAAGTAGCAGTCCCCGGTGACCAACACTGAACTCAGCCGCGAACATGTTGAGTCCTTGGCTGCTCCAAAATAGATGTCGACAAGTTTACCGCTGAGGCAACAACGACAGCAGGCCGCCAAGATCAAATCCGGCGACCTCGAGTTACGCAAATGCAGCGAAACCTTGTGCAGTGTGACTCGGAAAGCTGTGCAAAACTCTCCGGCCCCTCAGCCAGCAGCGGGCCACAGTAGAATAAGTGACCAAAAACGTGCCATGGCGACATGCATCGCAAAGCGCTCGTACAGTTCGTTCACTGTTGCCACTGCAGTATGACTTAAGAGTTGTAGGCAGCTCAACAAAGTATCGTATGCAACACGGTTTCCATATTCCTTTTAGCCCGGTGCTGGATCCAGCTGCGTGACGCCTGGATTTGTGTTACTCGGCGCCGCTTGGAAGCTAATCACTCAATGCGTCAAGAGGCGAGAAGCAGAAATAGGCTTTGACAAAAGCCCTGGCTGTTTGCAAAGGTCGCAAAATGCAAAGCGCAAAGGCGCAAGGAAAGAAGGAAACAAACACTTCGAACGCTTCCCTACAACCTGAGCTTCATTGGCCGAGCTGACCTATTCGACCATGCTGTGGCGCAGATTCTGCAACAATGTAAAACGCTGCCTCTAACTCAATAATCTATGGGGACTTTGTCTCGTTGAAAACAGGACGTCCAAATGGCACTGTCCAGTCGAATGGCAGGGCCCTTAACTTCAGCAAACCTCAGAACTTGGCCAGCCTTTAGACTGATTTCCCATGGTCCAACGAATACCGTCCATATGAGGCGGAGCATGGTGCTTAAAACGGAGCCGAGCTTCCGCCAAAAAGAGGAAGGGACACACATAGTCACTGGCCGACCCGCTCTGCGACTGAGAAAGTGTTCAGGAGCTATCAAATGCCCTGGCAGGTTTGCACGAAATGGCCTGCTGGTCATTGCACCTAGGCCTATCCAGAGGTTGCCCTGCTTGACCCTCAATGCTTGCGCCACTGGCAATCAATGATAAGTCTTGCTTCCAGTGTGTCAAGATCAAGCGCTCCAATGAGAGCACCGTAGAGCACCTGGTCTGGCAATTTGTTCTGAAGCTAGCTTGATTCCCAACCAAAAAGACATCCAATCAGCCAGGAAGAAGCAAACCTGAAGCCAACCAGCCAAAGAGCCTCCCGTTGCAGCGTGGCTCGCAATGATGCGGCTTGCTTTGGTTTGATGCTTGGTGCACTATAGCATCCAGAAACATCTAGCCATTGAGCAGTGGTTCAAATACAAATCCAGTAGCGCCATCTTATCCCAGCACATCCCCAAGCACGGACGCTCTGTAGTCCGGGGAACACAAAGCAGCCCGTTCACCAATGTTGTCAAGTGCCGATTGTCGCAACGAACCACGGGTCTAATCGCGGCACCCCTCAGGCTTCTTCGTGTTGCCCAATCTGCACAGGCCGAGGCTTGCTTCCTCAGAAAACCCACCAGGCAGCACGTGCAAGCAAATCCAAATGTCGCACCTGCAAACCTATTCAAAGGGCATCAACATCACACCAAATCATGTGATCAGGCGAGGTTCCCAGGTGCATCGCAAGTCTTCGGTCTTGTTCAGCTTGGTGTTGTTCACGCTAGTGTACATGCCGTGGCAGCTGCCCTCGTCTTGAAAGTTGCAGCCCGTGTTCTTCGACTTCGTGAGGTTGCGGAACAGCGCGCAAAGACTCGGCTCGCAGCACACGTCGTCGCTGCCACCTGTGATATTGCCAGCGCCAGGGACCAGCGCTCCTTTGCTGCATTGGTGCAGGCTGCAGGTCTTATCGCAGCATACGGAGGAGGCCTCCCCGACCGTGTGGTTGCGCTGGAAATTGCTTCCTGTGCAGGCCGTCCAAATGGCTGACACGCAAAACATCCGGGTGACTCTCAACGCCTTTTCCCCGCACCCGTTTCATCAATACCCTGTCATGGCCTTCACATCATTAACATCGGCACAGTTGCCTCAGGAGAAACCACCTATTCATCATCATCACCATCACCATCATCATTGGCACATATTGGCACCATCCGCATCCCCAGCATCCCCAGCATCAGCAACATCAACAGCATCAACAACGCCCCAACATCAACAGACTTCCCCGCGTTGTCACCATCCACAGCATATGAACCACCGTCCAACCCATCTTTGCTCCAGCATCACCAGCTCTACGCGAGTCGAGGCCACAATGTTGAGCTGACAGGGTTTGACAAAGGGACCTTTGAAGGCTGAGATGGCACAAATGTCCGAGCAAGAATGTTGGACAGGCCTCTGCACGATCCCTTTGCAAGCTGGCGATGGAAAGGCACAAACTGGGCTCGGGAAAGGACCTGGGCCCCACTTTCGAATGTTGCAAGGGAAGCCAAGCTGAAACCTCTCACTCTTGGGGGTCTCATTTTGAAAACGTTTTTACGACATGCATCATGGATCGTTCTTGACTTGAGATTTGCTGCTCCTGGCACGTAGCCAGCACCGCACTGGTGAATCTGGCAGGTCTTCTGGCAGCAAGTGTCGTCGTCTGCAGGCCAGGCGCTGGCATGGGCGGGATTGCTGACATAGGACTCGGGGCAGGCGTAGACCTGGCCCGATGCTTGTCTCACAAAAACCTGCAGACAACCCCGAAACAAGCAAATGAAATTTAAGGATTTCCCCAAAGCTTTTGCTTTAGATCAAAGGGAAAGACATGAGACGAGATGGGCCTGGCAGGTCTTCATGCAGCACTGCATGTCCTTAGCCGTCGAAAAACCAACTTGAAATCTGACTAAGGGACACGTGTCCCAAGCGTTGAGGGCAGCACGTTGCAGGGCTGGGTCACGCAGCTCCTCTCAAACGAAACTGGCAGGCAGACGTTTGCTTTTCTCTCTGCAGGTTGAAATGTCACAGTCCTGGCGTCGCCCAAAGGCTTCCAGCCCTGGCTGCACTGGAAGCCATGCTCACCGCTGAGATCTCCGCACCTGTACCCAAACACTGGCGCTTGCAGATAGTCGCAGATAGTGAGGATGGCTGAGCTTGGCACTTCTGCTGGCAGCACTTCTGCCCGTCGCCTGCCACCTGTCAAACGCGTTCCGTGCCCGTGCACGTATGCGACGGACTCTGCGCCCTATGCGTCTCCATGCTGCACCTCCGAGAGCTTGTCCTTGACGTGCTCAAAGCCGTTGGGGCAGCTCACACTTTCGCAGGTAGGCCTGGGACAACGCAATCTGGCCCGACTCTCCGCCTTTCTTTACCTCTTTCCCGTTCTGCCGAGGCCCTTGGGCCTGGGGCATTCTGGGGCTTTGCGAGGTCTGCATCCATTTTTTGGGTTTCCGAGATCACACAGAAGCCACAATTCTAACACCTCAGCAGGGCAACGGTGCACTTGCCATTGCTCCAACATCACCAGTCCGCATCGCCAGCATCACGTCTTCACATTGCTTTTCTGGGCGGGCAGCCCAGTCTTGAAACTGCATCAGCTCAGCGCGAAGTAGCGACAAGCCGGGGAGGGGGTCTCTGGGCGGATCTCTCAGTCTGGGCCGCCGAGCCGGGCTTGCGGTAGCATTTCAATTGCTTCCATGATTTCCGTTCATTCCCTTCTCATTCCACTCAGGCACTCCACTCAATCCATTCATTTCATTCAGCCCAATCTTTTGCATTCCAGTATGTTCCGTTCCGTTCCGTTCCGTTCCTTCCTGCCTGTGTTTCTTTTCGTCAGTCATTCTTTGCTTTTTCATATTTTGTGGCTCATTGCGCTGCTACACTGGTACGCTGTCACCCCAATGCAACGGGGCCACTTCCACTGCTACACTCACAGTTCGCCACGCTGAACTCTGCGAGGTGTTGGCAACAACGTTACCATGCCCTTACGCTGCTTGTGCTGCCTTACACTGCTAAAACAGCGAACACTGCCTTCACTGCAACGCTACGTTATCTACACCACGCTGTGTTGTGCTGCCCTTCGCTGCTGGAACAGCGTCAGCTGCCTCCGTCTGCCTGCGCCTTACGAGCCTCCGCTGAATATAATGATTGACAGTGCCTATGCTGCACCGACACCTCGAAGTCACCACGAGTCGTTCAAAGGGGCTCTTTCTGAGACCGGGAGCCCAGCACAAGGCACAAAAGCGAAGTGAACCTGTAGAACAACTCAAAAGCAAACGGCACGCAGGCCTTCCCCACGAGCTGCCATCTTTACAGCATGAATGAGTACCCTTGCGTGACCACATGCGCAGCAACTACCTAAATGGATGTACAAAATGACATATTGATGTTGAACACCCCAAACTCACCCACGTCACACAATTTCAAGAAGGACGTATGGCAATGAGGAAAAGGACCACCGCTCCGTGCTGAAAAGCCTCGCTCACCATATTTGTGCTAGCGACCTAAGCGAGAACCCAAGCATCAGAAATGCTTTTGAGAAAATAGCGTGAGTAAGCTCGTTGTAGGCAGTGCGTGCGGCGTCAGTGGTGTACCCACTGCACACAGTGTAAAGCAGTGCGACTGCGCTGCGCAAGGACACAGCGATGCGACGGGGCAGCGGTGCGATGCTGCTTCGGCGCGCTACCCAAAGTGTAACGATGTTTTGCATTGAGCCCTCGCGAATTTCTTGTCTTTTCTTGCTTTGTTGTTCCTTCCTTCCTTGCTTCCTTGCTTCCTTGCTTCCTTGCTTCCTTGCTTCCTTGCTTCCTTCCTTCCTTCCTTCCTTCCTTCCTTCCTTCCTTCCTTCCTTCCTTCCTTCCTTCCTTCCTTCCTTCCTTCCTTCCTTCCTTCCTTGCAGAGCCACATACGGGGCGCGGCTGGGCGGCTGGGCGGCCGGGCGCGCAGCAGTCTGCGGGGCTGGTGGCGGGGCTGCTCAGCTTCGCAGGCAGATGCGCGGACTTTGTCGGGCAAGAGATGGCCGCGCAGCTGTCCTGACAGCAGTCCAGCGGATCCGTGGACACCTGCACAGTGACGCGCTTGAGTCATATCCATTGAGAAATCTGGTGCTTCGCAGCGGCCTTGCTCAGGTGAGGCGAGCCCTTCGGCCAGCTGGTCTTGGGGTACGCACAGGCCACCGACGCACAGGTGGCAGAGCAGCACTCCTGTCAACTTCCATGACGTCTGCGTGAACTTTATACGCCCCACGCGTGGCACATGCTAACTTGCACGAGTGCTCCGTGGCGTTGACACCGGGCTTGTGTGGATCTTTCATCACATGGCCGGCGGGACCTCGGATATTGGCACAGCCTTTGACCACCTAGCACATTCCAGCATGCTGCTGGAGACCACTTCGTCACTTCAGCTCGGCACAAGTGACTTTGGCGCCGCTGCAAGTGATGTCACAGCACCTTGTGACACTGTGATGTGAAGTATGGGCTCCTTTCAACGCATTGAGAAGAGGTCTCAAGGTCTAAAGCGACCACTCTAAACGTGCTCAGGGGTGGGAGTGGGGTGTTGAGGATCGGCTGAACTCCAACAGCGCTCAAATCGTCTCGGGCACTGCTCATCGCTGGTCCCTGCGTTGCCGTGGTAGGCCTGCACAGAAAGATGGCGAGCCGAAGCGAGGCTGGTCGCAGTGAGCCAACCTGAAGAGAGTGGATGGTGAAGCGAGTGGAATGGGACGAACAACAACGGACTTTGCTTCGAATGCCCGTCCGATCAAAGTTCTGATCTGAGAAACTTCGAAAGTTCAATGCTTCGAAACTTCGAACTCGCCACGACTGCCACGACTGCCACGACTGCGCCGACGCCACGCGCCTCGTTCCTGACGAAGCCCGGGGAGCAGCGCCAGCCATCGCAGCTGGGCTTCTGCTTCAGCGCCGCGGCTGCAGCCTACGTCAAGTGCAACAAGCCTATGGAATCCGAGAATCAATCAAACACTGTGTACAATACGCATCTCTTTGTAGATGTGTATGAAGCATGTATATCATGTATGACTGTAGCCACTGTCACTGTATACCATGTACTTCTTAAATGGTTCGAAGTATCGAGCGAATTGGAAGGCCCTCTGAGGTGGCGTCCAGCAGCGCCAGCTTCATTACCTCGAAATCCGGACCAAAGAAGCGAGAATGGAGCGAAAGAAGAAATCTCAGACACGAAGAGAAAGAATGAGATGAAGAAAAAGAGCCGCTTGTTTGATTTCTGTGCCTGCTTCATCCAAATACAAACCGCTCCTCGGCTAATCTCATATGGGCATGTGTGTGGGGAAGTCATTTAGTGTGATGCAAGGGCAAGCCAACCAGTGACTCCCTGGAGTTGGCTGCGCTGCGGGCCGGACAAGCATCCTGACAGGGCGCGGGGAGGCCGGTTCCACTTGAGCCGGCTGCAATAGACGGAATTTCTAGGCAAAGCTATGACTGCTATGACCAGTCTCTGCGACTTCGCGTGTGCGGCTCCGGGATCAGCCGCTTTTTCCGCAAGCTTTGCACTCTCCAAGTCCACAAGCAGGTCAACCACCTGGAGAACATGAGCTCCAGAAGCGCAGCACCCCTGGCCACCCTGCTTGTCCCGTCCTCGAACTTCAACAGTGCAAGCAGCTTGCCTCTCCTCAAGTAGACAAGCACGCAATACAAAATATGGATCTAAGTCTATATGTACCGCTAAGCAAATCCTGATTTTCATGAATTCTTCTGTGGAGCTGCTGCTTCAGGTGCTTCATGGTGTTGTGGTTTGCAGTTTCATGAAAGTGCACCACGGCGTTGGGAAGCGCGGCCTCAGCTTCAAGCACTGGAAGCTCTGGAAGCTCTGGAAGCACTGGGAGCACTTTGGAGCACTGGGAGCACTCAGAGTACTTGGAGCAGCGCAGCATGTCGATTGTCTGTGTGGTTCTCAGCGCCGACATGCAGCTGCACATTCCGCCCACGCGTGGCATCCTTGGGCGGTACAAGCATTGTGACCGCCTTCGGCTTCAATGGATCCGGGCCTGCACTCGTCTCCGGAACTGCTCACGCACGGATGCCGATGCGAAGGATGGCCAGGTGTAAGCCTAAGGGCAGACGCAAGCAGTTCGCAAGGCCGCTTGGCAAACTTGTCATTGGCCAAGCCTAAGCCTTCGGATCCGAGATGCCAAATCCACCTGAGGGCTGAAGGCATGAACTCGGTTTGCCAGATTCGCAAAGAGCAGCGCGGCGGAACCTCAATGACTCAAGTCAAGTCCCACTCGCGAGGCGCTTTTGCGGCAACTCGGAGACTCAGCCTCGAACCTCCCATGGAGCCGCCCCAGGCGAAGACCCGCCGGTACCGACTGGTGATCCTCGAGATCCTCTCCTCGAAGTACCTGGGTCATCCATTCAAAAAGAACAATAAGTCATATGTATATATATGTATGTGTATGTATATGTACATATGTATATATTTGTTAGACTTGGAGCAACTGTGTAACCTGATCACGTGATGTTCACTCTGCGATCCTGTACACCTCGCTATGGATTACTCCTAGGCTGGGTTAGAGAACTCGTGGCTACGTGTATATGCTGCAAAACATACATGTCGCTGTGGTACCATTCACGGAAAAACCAACAGCAATGAGTTCATAAACTTTCCAATTGATTGCTGGAAGTCATCTCCGCGTCTGCCCTGCAAAGCATCCGTTGTCTGCCCCACAAGTCAAATAAAGCAAGAACCTTGGTATTGGGAGGGGGTCTTAGCATATTATATATATGATAAATTGTTAAACTCAATGTGACTGCGTGAACCTGTTGATACCTGAAAGTGTAAACCTGTGCTGTGAACGACACGGCGCTGTAGCACTCTTTTGTGTCCTACAGCATCCCAACGAAACCCAATGTGGGGCATCGCGTGTAGCCAGGAATCTTCTGCCTGGTTCGGCTCCGATGTGACAGTTGTTGTCATGAAACTGTATTGCTCCACTGTAAGTGGAATCATCACTGCGGTGTAGTCCTGGGGCTCCTCTGGTGTAGTCGGGATGATGGCATCCACCGGCTCCAATGTAAAACCCTCTGGCACTGTCATCAGTAAGTGGCTGCAGCATGTGCTGGGCCATTGTCAGAAACATGTATAGAATGTCACGCAAAAGTTGTTGCCCCAAAAGATGCAAAAGGGGTTGTAGAGGCTTCAGGGTTGGTCCATGGCTGTATCTAACCTAAAGCTAAAAGAGCATGCGCCGGCCGTTTGGTAGTAAAATATACATGTGAAAACTGTGCAGCTGTTGTTTAACAACCTGTGCTGACTACTGTGCTTACTGGTGTGAGACTGTTGCGGTGTGGCCTCAAAGGCCAACTGTGTACGTGTGTTTGTTGAGTGTGTCGCAGCCAACGAAGTTGGTAAGAAGGTCGGCTGGATTGTCTTCTGACTTTTCCCTGCGCATTGTAATGATTTTGCTCTTGACAAGTTGTTGTATCAAAAGGTCTCGCAGCTCGATGTGTTTTGCTTTCTGTGGTGTACCTATTGGCGCTGCTGTCTGTGTGTGTCCTGATGTTGGTGCGAACTTCAAATGCTTCCTTGATGAAGTTGCTGATGTAGAGGCTTTCCTGTGCTGCTGTACCAATTGCGCGCAGCTCTGACTCTGCTGATGAAAGTGCTATTGTTGCTTGTGTCCGTGGGCCCGCTGGACTGCGAGAGCCTGGACTGCACCTTCACGGTCCCGAGCGGCGGAGTGTCGACGGGCAGCGTACGGTGCGCGGCGACGTGACGAGCTCGGGCACGGTCTCCGCCCCGCAGCTCTTCGCGTCCAACACGCTCCTGTTGCGCTCTTCCTTGTTATCTCGCATGATGCCCAGTTGGCATCGGTGTATGTGCCAATGTTGAGTGGAATTCGCTTGTCCTGTGTTTGTATCTTTGGTCGTAGGTTATGTTGCATGTACCTTGTTCCTTTAAGGTATCTGATCATGCGCCTGAGCTTCTTGTTGTCAAGTTGCGTTGGTGCTTGTAGTGATCTTGCTAGTTCCTTTGCTTCAATCAAGTGGTGCTTCATCTTCTGTTGTAGCTTTCATGTGTGACACTCCTGGTGACGGTGATGGGTCACCATCAAAACCATGCAAATGGAGGGTTTCACAAGTTCTACACTTTGTAATGGTTCCTTTATAAAGGCTCCTTTAGAAGGAAGCTTTATAAGGAAGCTTTATAAGACCTTTATAAAGAAGCCTGTATAATAGAAGCAAGTGTGGAAAATGTAAGACCATCAAAACCATGGAAATGGAAGGTTTCACACGTTCTACACTTTGTACGGGTTCCTTTAAAAATGCTCCTTTAGAAGGAAGCTCTATAAGGAAGCTTTATAAGACCTTTATGAAGAAGCTTTTATAAGAGCCTGTAGAAGCAAGTCTTATGATTGACAGCGGTGCGTCTACACATGTATGTCGACCATGGTTTGCGCATCAAGCTTTTCGGGTACAGATGGGTTTGCGTGACAAACCGCAGCGGACAACAAATTGTCATACCATTTTACGTTTGTGAGGTTAAACAGCCGATTCTTTCAGCTACAAGGCTGGTGGAACAAGGTTTCCAACTTACATTGGATGACAATCCAAGGCTACAGCGCATCAAAGGATTCAACAGCACACTGGAGATCAGAAATGGCTTGTTCTTCCTACAAGCAGAGACGACAACATTGCCAAAGGGAGCAAAGCTACAAGTACACAGCACAGAACAAGGACAGATTGGCATGATAGAGTAGTCGGGGGCCTCGCCCCGCAAATAAATTGCTTCATACATACCCCCCACCCTACATTTTTTTTCATCTTCCATCTTCTACCCTTATTTGTTTTCATCATTTTTCTACATTCCTTTCTGTCCATCTCATCCGTTTTTTTATCATCATTTTTCCAAATTTTTTGCAATCCTTTTCTCCTTTCTCCTCGCCTCATTCATTTCACCAACTACCCTCCAAAATGTCATTTCCTCAATCTCCTCACCTCATCCATTTCAAAAAAATAAATTTTGCAAAATATATTGCAAAAAATATTTGTCGTCAAAAAAATATTCGAACTGTCTAAAAACGATTTGTCCATTTCCCGGACAAAAAATAGAACAGCAACAACATCACTCCCTCCTTCGTTTCATCACTTTTATCATATATTTGTTTGGGCGTGGTCGCATAGCTTGCGAGCTTCGCTAACGCTCGCGTGTCCCTTGTAGGATTTAGGGTGGTCAATACCAAAATCATCACTCCTAATCAGTAAATGATACAATAGTGTTCATATTATTGTATCAATCACTCTAAGTTTCCCTATGCTTCTCCATTGTGTGTTTCTCCCATTGATACGGTAGAAAACTGGCTCTACATGTCAAGCACCTAAAATGCTTTTTGCCATCTATGATTTTGATTTCATCAGGTTCTGGCAGTTTCTCCTCAGATTTCTCGCTTCTTCTCAGGTTTCCTTGATGCCATGCTGTTTTCTCGTGTCTTGCTTTGCTTTTTAGTTGCACTTCAACATCACATAATGGACAGTAATGCGTTCTTGTTTTGTATTCCTTCATGTATTCTCTTTGCCTTTCTTGGTATTTTTCAGGATTGTTCTTTCTATCTTCCCTTCTGTATTCTCTGTATTTTTCAGGGTTGTTGTGGTAGTGTCTTTTACTTTTTGCTCTACATATATTGCAAGTCTTGAACCCTTCTTCAAACTTGTCGGCTTTTTGATTGAACATGCATTTGCTACAATACTTTCTTTCAATTTCCATCCTTATTATCTATAGGTGTTCTCTCTTTAAGTGTAAATCCAAGCCTATAATTATGAAACAAATGTAGGCGTGGTGCTCCTTGTAGGATTTTATCTTCAAGTTCTAAAACGCTATACTTACATTAGAATTATAACCTATAAATACTTACATTAGAATTATAACCTATAAGGGTATAAATGTTATAATCATAGTATGGTTATAATTTAAACACCTACATTTGTTGCACTCAACATCTACATATGTTGTGTTCAACATGTACATGTCCTCAAGAAAACATGGGTTGTTCCATTGCTCAAATGTACACATGTTCAACCCAACATATACATATGTTCAACCCAACATATACATATGTTCAACCCAACATATACATATGTTCAACCCAACATATACATATGTTCAACCCAACATATACATATGGAACTCCACATCCACATCATCCACTACATTCACCTTTTGAATGTGGAACCCCACATATGTATATGTACAACCCCACATCCACATATGTAGAGCCCCGCATCAGAATATGTAGAGCCCCACATCAGAATATGTAGGGCCCTGCCCTGTTTGACAATTGGTGAGAGTTTCCTGATATATCTATATGAATATTGGTGCTTTTTAAAATTGGTAAACTATGGAAGGCTAATGTCTTCATCTAAATCTAATTCGTCCATCTCTTCACACACTTAGAGCTGAAAAAACAGTTTGTGATGCAACAAGAGGAGCCGACACCAAACACGGATGGCGCACACAGCAAAAACGGATGGCGCACACACCAAAACGGATGGCGCACACACCAATAACGGATGGCGCACACACCAAAATGGTGTGTGCTCATTTTGGCTGGGTTTTCAAGTTTCAAGCCCAACCCCAAACTCAAAATCCTTAATCCGTCAAACTCACTAAGATTTCACAAATTAATTCGCTAGGTATTTTATATAGGTCTTCCTGCTTATGTATTGTTGGATTGTCTCCCCAATTTTCCTTGGTGCCCGATGGAAGCCGTTGTGCGGTTTCAATATGTTTATTATTCCTGATGTTGCCACAATCCTTTTTACATAATTCTCTAGGTTTCCAAGTTGTAATGTTATTCCATAGCCTAGTGCGTTTTCTGTAAGGCATTCCATACTTACAGTAATCTACAGCTTTAAAACCAAACTCATCCATAAACTCCTGATGTTTTAATAATCCAGTTTGTGGATTTTCGATTACAAAATATTTAGGATTGAAATATTTGATAATCTCAATAGTTTTTAAGACAATACTATTGCATATTCGATATTCCTAATTCCCCTAGTTTTTGCTATGCTGTAGTCAGTGCATGGGGGACTACTCCAAATAAAATCAAAATGGTTTCTGTCAAACTGTTTGTAATCCCACTCCAAAATATCAGTGTTGATATCAGCATTTTTCAAGTCTAATGATATCACATTAAATCCAAGCGACTTTGCTATGGTTCCGACGCTTTTTGTTCCGCTAAATAATTCTAATAAATTCATATTATTAGAATTACTTAGATATTAATTATTCAAATAATACATATACTTCATCATCATTTTTTGTAATTTTATAAAACTCTAATGTTTGTTGCTTTGGTTGTTTGATTTTTCCTGTATTCAACATATCACAGTATTTCTTTTG